GGCCGTTAGAAGCTCCGGTTCCCATAGAAACCGGACACTCACGCTTATGTCTGCACATGCGCATTGGCTGGTCTAGCCTGAAAAATAAGCCTTTTTAACTCTTTTTGAGCAGAAGCAACAACATTAATGACGCAGTTCATTTCAGATTTTGTTGCTGATTTGAAATATGTAATTTTATTTTGAGTTCAGCAGGCAGTCTTTGAGATTTCAGGATTCCCCCATTCATTTAGATAGGACTTGGTCTTGGATGCCCAAAAGAGCTGCCCGGAGGCGTTGCGAATATGGTTGCAGAGTGAACAGACTTACCTTTAAAGGGACATTTTAACATTTAATTTTAATCGTGACAGCCATAATATATTTAGTTTAATTGTGCAGGGGCTTTTTTTTTGGTCCCATTATCTTGAATTTGTGGGGCATTTTTGTTCATTTTGGTGGCCTTTTTGCCACAAGCCCCCGTTAATTTCCGACCCTTATTTAATTTTATGAAAAATTTGCACCTTCATTTCCAGACTTACAAAAACTACTTAGTTGTCATTTGTGGGGAAAGCATGTATAATGATGAAACAATCTTTCTGGAGTGTCTTAGTACATTTGTAGTCATGCAAACTGCAATGAGTTAATAAGACAATATAATAATCTGTAAATCATGAATGATCAAGTAGTTTGTGTTTTTGACAAATTGGTTGAGTAAATGTTTCAGTGACTCGCTTATCATCACCTACTGTCATAAAAGGCGAATCTGAATAAATTGTTGGTAACATTTTATTTTAAGGACCAATTAGCATGCATATTACAAGCATATTGGCTGTTTATTAGTACTTATAATGCACATATTAATACCTTATTCTGCATGAGCATTTTCTAGATCCCACAACCCACCTAAACTTAACAACAACCTTACAAACTATTAAAACGCAGCAAATTAGGAGTTTATGGAGGGAAAAGTCAGAGTTAATAGTTAACTGTGAGAACTGGAGCTTAAAATTAAATGTGACCGAATTTGGAGAGTAAAATTAGCATTTAAAAGGAAAGAAAGAATTTTCTGCACAGTTCTGGGGACCTTTAATTTGTGCACAATTTTTGGTGCATGTACAAATCCCAAATTAACTTTTTGCTACACTTGCTGAAAGCGAATGATTTCAGAAAATGTAATGGCCAAAAATATATCTCATCTGCCATTAAATTGTAATTGCAATAAAAAAATAAAAAAATAAAAAATCAAAATCTTTGGGTATGAAAATATCAATGAGGTAAATAACTAAAATAATAAATACATGAAAAAACCCATCCAAAATTATAATTAATAAACATGAAAACATTTTTCACTAAAGTAACAAATGCAGATCAGGCTTCTG